ACACGTAGACCAGTCAGAGTGTCGTCTGGTGTGTGTGTAGACTCTCGCAGAAATCAGCTGTATGATTATTTTGTAATTTTTCTCCTCGTATTTACATAACGTTGCACGACCAGAATTGACAATCACTTCTCTTTGACAGGTGTGCGGACGGGTACATGGGTCAGCGGTGTGAGTTCAAGGACCTGGACGGGTCTTACCTGCCGGCGCGGGAGAGGGTGCTTCTCGAGACGGCGTCCATCGCTGGAGGGGCGACCGTCGCCTGCGTCTTCGTCTTCGTCATCCTCTTCGCTATGTATGTCATCATGCAGAAGGACAAGGACAAGCGATGCAGGTGAGTTCTTCTTTAATAAGGATTTTTTTTTTTTATTGTGAATGTGTTTGTTTGAGCGTGCGTTCGCGCACGCGAGTGATTGTGAGCGGGCGTGGCGATGCGTGTCGGAAGTGGGGTTGATGCTCCCGGCGCCGCGCAACCACCGCAGCTTCCCGAATCTCACGGGATCTCGCTCATGCGGCAATACTGCCACCACGGTGGCGGCGGCGGCGGCGGCGGCGCTGCGCCTTCCCTGACAGGCAGTACCTCACACGCCTTACGGAAGAAACAAACTTACCAAACGGTGCACACAAATTAATGAACTTACCTAGATAGATTACAATGCATTCAAGTGCTGTTGGCTTACTTCTAACAGATGTTTAGATGAATTACTTTCCTTCATCTTTTAAAATACTCTATCCTTTTTCAGGGACTCGGACGATGGCCGAAACAACGACCGGCAACCATTCTCTGGGTATCAGAACCCACGGCCGGAAATATTTCGAACTATTAGTAACCCTTATGCGCGCACCATTGAGGTAAGCTAATAGCATTAACGCTAATAGCATTGACTCGTGTCATGAAATTGTAGTATAAACAGAATGGGTAACTGGAATTGTTCATTATACATTTCTTGATGTGGAAATGATTATTGTTAATAGATTTCTTATTGACTTCATACTCTGGTTATTTTATTAACCAATCTAATTTTCTTTGCTGTAGGAGCTTAGTCACGTGGAGGTGCAGCCAGCCAGTGGTGCTCCCAGTCCCAACACGGACAGCACAGCCACCAGCGGGATGGACACCAACAAGCAATGTGCTCTAGATCCTTCATAGTGACACCCACCATATCTATGGTGCAAGCACACATTTCTTACGGACATTGCACAGTAACGCCTGTATAAGGTGTAACGACACTAGGAAGATTAAAACTACTCGGGCTCCTTGCTCCGGCAGGGTGGCATCCCCACTTCCTTTGGTGCTCATGATAGTACTCAGCCAACATGGATGTCTCGCTGTTTATGCCTAGGAGGGTTGAGTGATTGTAAATGCATGTGTATGGCTCTGAAGCAAGCCAGCATAAATAGACACTTCTAGAATCATATGTAATGAGCGCATTTCTGTGTGGATGGTCTTAGGGTCTTGCGGGGGTCTATGCCACCTGTCTGGCCACTGATGCTGATTGTGACACATACTCATTTATCTCAAGATGCCTGTTATGCAGTCTTTTAGATTCACAGAGTAATATATAATGTTTTAGTGTTTACCATATATATGGTCTGCCTTGTGTGTATATATAAATAACAGTTTGTCTTGAAAAGGTGCCTACTCGCACATGTGCCCTCCTTACTAGGCTTGTAAAGCTCGCATCTAGCTGTCACAGATATCCAGGACGTCTTATTACTCAGTGTGGCCCATAGTTTGTCTTTGGGCAGTGACGTGCGACACCTCGTAGACTATTAGATGTGAGTGTCTTAGCAAAAGTGTCACAGCCGTCCATGTGGTTCTTAGGTAGTCCAATTTGTGTGTAGGATCCAAAGAAGAACTCCAGTCATCTATGAAGCTTTTTTCATGGTTGTTTATTTATAAATTTGCACAGTTTATTTTTCATAGATGTAATACCCATTTATTTTCATGCTGTGCTTCAATATTGCATTACTGTACATTCCCAGCTTAACAGTTCCCCTTGTGTGAGGGTCTGGCAGGCTGCTGGCCACCTATTCCATACAATTCCATTAGGTCCGTTCCATGATGCCAACTCTCATTACTGTGGTCATTAGTGCACACAGTGAAACATACACAGCCTTTGGTATTAAGTATCTGAAATGTGTTTTAGACTAGAGCTCTGAAGCCATAATGACCACAGCACTAAGAGTTTGCAGTACCTCTGCCGTTGTGTCCCAGGAGTTGGCACTCGGGTTACTCCAGCAGGTTGGTTGTATTAGGATCCCGTACGGAGTGAGTTGTACCACAGGTCATTATTTGCCTCATTATTGTTCTGCACAGCCAGCTAATCTCAGGGCCAGAGCATTAGTTCCCCCTTAACACAAGGCAGTGTCATCCTGTTTGTCATAATTATTCTTTGTTCAGCACTGCCAGCCTGCAAGCATGTTCCATCATTGCTCTGCATTAAGGATATCCAGTTTCAGGTTAGGAAGTTGATGTGTACATATTGTAAAGAAGCAGATAAGACTCTTGACAGTGGATGAGTTACCAGAGGTCTGTCACTCTGATCTGGCTCAGGCCAATAAGTAGTCACTATTTATGTTTCCATTTGGCCGATGTATCAGTGTAAAAGAGGGTAGACAACTCCCTCGTAGCAGTTCGACTTCACAGTTGTGAAACACCTCTGGTACCCCCTCCTAGAGCTATATACCGCTTAGCTTGTAACATTTGTAAATAAAACTAGCAGATTATTAGCTTATTGCTGATCAGCTTTTTCTGTAAGATTTCTCTGCTTTATTTGTAACTTTCAATTATTCCTGATATAGTATTGATTATTTCAAGAAAACGGTAATAAGATTAAGGTCAGACTTTACCATGAATCTTGGTTGCTATTAGCACTGCTACTGTAACATACCTCGCAAGTTGCTCTGGGGATGAAGGCTACTTTCATTTCTTTGCAATGTGAAGGAAATGCATTTTATTCCATAACTTTATTTTGTAGAATCTGGCACTGCTTGCTGTTTAGTGCTTTTGGATAGTTGACATTTGTCCAGGATATATGAGGGATAAGTTTTTTTGAGGCTGTTTCCCCTTCATGCTCAGATCAATTTTATTAGTAACAGTGCTGAAAGTGACTTCAGTTCTTAGGTTCATTTGTGTCAGACTCACAGGAACTGCAATTCAGCATTTGCAACAGTTGTTTAAAGCAGTTTATGTGTATAGACAAGGCACTCAGCTTGTAAAGGTTCCTATCATGGTATATCATAAATGGTTCAGTCTTAGGTCTTGAGTCCTATGGCAGTAAGTCACAAGTTCATTTATTAAGGAAAGTTGTTTCACTGAGAATAACCTTTTGTTTTCTTTAGCTTAACCAGTGTTGAACTGCTTGTCATGGTTTAAAAAAATTGGTTCTTATCAATATCTTGCTTCTTACCCTGGTTATAAAATTTTAATGGCTTCCATATTACTCCCAGAGGAATAGCAATTGTCACCCTTGTACCTAGAGTTTACTGTACATTGCATCAAAAAATATTATTGCTTTGTTGTGTACATTACCCAACCAAATAGTCAAAGCCCCTGATATGCACCCCTGCATATTTACCTGTAGTTGAAGCCTATGGGTGTTAGTAGCAATCCTAGAAGTAGTATTCCATAGTTAAAAGATCACTGAGCATCAGAATAGTGTTACCTAAATGCATAAACTGTATGTTCAAGGGAAAAGGAGTCTTTGGTGTTGTCCTAGCCTCACTACCTCTGATTATGCCTTGCTAGTCCACAGATCACAGCTTTAACATCATATACATTTTTTAAGTTGTGCAAAAAAGCATGCAGGGGTGCTCTCTTCACATGTTGTTCCTAGGGCAGTGAAATACCATGGAAGTTAGAGGATTAGATCACAATATTAGGGAAAATTAAGAAGAAAATAAAGCTTCCTTTATTTCTAATGTACTCAGATCTTTTAAAGAGCCGTTGTTCACTTGTTAGATTGGAAATTGTAATACCTATCTTGAAAATCATAGTGAAGTTTTCTTTTAAAAATCCTTGATGGATTTTTTCATTACTGAATGCAGTGCTATGGTGAATTATTGGTTATAATGTAATTAAGGTTTCCTAGTTGTGCTACTCCTTGTTTTAATTTTAGGTCAGTACTAATGTTCTCACAGTATTGTAGTGTACTGTCAATGCATATCAACAATGCAGAAAGAATCTTTTCACTTGGTAGACACAAGGATATAAATCACTTTATTATAAAATTTATTTTTAACATTTTATGCAGAAAGATTAATATATAGTGTCTTAGTCATGATGGAAGGCTCATTAGCAGTTGAGAAGAAAAAAACAAAGTTCACAGACAACAACAGAAGAAGAATGGAAAGACAGCGAGAGTAACAATTCTCTTTGCAACATATGAAGGCTTGAGACAGTTTAGCTGCTCAAGTAAGTTACCAGTAAGTTTCAATACCTGAAATTTAGGTGACAAGGTTGTACCCAGGCTTGAAAAAAAATGTTTTATGTGGATTATTTGTATCCAGTTACTTAATTAATGGCCTAAGAACAATACTCTCTTTGTCTTTGAGAATATCCTCTTATTTGTTTCCTCTTTTTTTATGAATAAAGAGTAACCCCATGTAGGTTTGAGCATATCAAAAATATTTGGATTCCAGTTGGTTGCAGCTTGATTAATCAAAGGGACTTGGAAATGGATGATAGCAGCTGATTATTGTCTGTACAGGAAGATGATACAATATTGTTATCCAGTGTATTTTATTTTATCAAGTTACTGTCAATAGAAGAAATAAAGAATTTGTTACAGTGAGTATTTGATTTTCCTTCTAATAATCTGCCCCCTCCACATATAAAAGTCTGCAGTTTAACAAAATTATTCGCTAAGGAATAGCAAAGTAAGAAGCAACAGAATTCCAGTGTCTGCTTACTTGAATGAAAATGTGTGCTCTATTATTAAATATATCTGTTTCTGGCCCAATTTTTCAAAGCTTTATGCAAAGTATAAAAAACAGACTACTTATTAAAACAGGTACTTTTTAATTCTCAACAAACATTTTAATAGTAACTTCAGCACTTTTCACATAATCTGCAGTGTGAAAATTATATTATGCTACTTGAGCAATATCAAATTATATTGAAATTTGATGATTATCCTTCAGTTGGTATTCAACTAAGATAATGCAATACCTTTACTAAAAAAAAAAAAAAAAAAATACATATCTAAAATCATGTTACCTATCAGTCTTGCTCTAATTTCACTGAATAATTATAATTTAAACTACAATATAAGTAATGCTGAAAATTCATTATACATTACAGCAAATATATTATGCACAACTACTTAATCCAATCAGCATGGATATCAAGAATACATGCCATGTCTGCTGTAATATAAGTTTGTTTATTGTACTAATACTGATGACTACAAGTGCTTAGTCACCAAGGAGTCAGTTAATAGGCCTACCAATCTCACCTGTTTACCCTTTTCCTTGATTTTTGGAAAGTTTCTTTTGTATTATTTCATTTTTTAATGTTACCCAGAGTCTAATAACAATTAAATAAAAATAACTATAAAAAAAAAATTAAAAATAAAATTAAAAAATCGACAGTATTAGAAAGAAAAGTACGTTTTCCCCCAATTTCAAAGAATATGGAAATCAGGAGTGGTTACAAAGGCCTACTGATAGACTGTATAGGTTGAGCACACGCAGAGCCATCTGTATGAAACAAAATTCACAAAAAAAAATACAGGGGACAGTACATAAATCCATGGGGATTGGGTTTAAAACCATCTTCCTCCATTTTTTAAACATATTTCACAATGTCTGTATCATGGAATACCAACTTCTATATCACTATTCATTTGCTTAGGATACAAAAATATCAATCTGTTTAGCGGCTGAATTTCATAATTAAAATATAGTCGGCTAATGAACAGGTACTATTATTCTTCCACAGTATCCCTAATACATACCCAATAACTGACACTTGTTCATTGGTAATGAAACGACAGAGTTGGGACTGTATATTTATACAAATATGACAAAATATGTGGATAACATAGTTTATATAAATCTGATATTTGTAGCAAAATCTTATAATGTTTACCTACTAACTATAAATATACAATGGACCTAATACCAACTGGAAAAAAGAACATTAATTGGCAAAGTGACAAAATATATCTACAATATCATCAATCAAATCATAAGGTAATTTCTTTAAATATATACCAACTTTCTTACATTCACTACTATCAACCACAAATATTCATCAAATTGGAAAGAAATCCATTGACATTTATAAGACATTGCTGTAATAAAATGCACTCTTATCTTACAAAACAGTACTTAAAAACTATGACTACATAGTCTTAAGATTCAGCCTTTTTGCTATGGCACAGTTAAGACAAATGCATTTCAAGACACCACTTCATCTGAGATTGTACTTTTCAGATCTAATAAAATTAGTATTCCTAGTTTAACAATATAATTTCTCTTAAATGTAATTCATTTCTGGGGAGCTGCACCAAATATTCTGATTGAGGAACTTGTATGGCCTACTTATTGCTTTTTGGAACCTTTAAGCCTTATCATCTGCACAGTTTGGTGTTCCTCTCTCACTGCACTAAACAGAAAAGATAATACAAAATTAAGTGATTTTCATGAAAACAAAACACAGTATTTTAGTTCACTAAAATAATCCTAAATGGAAATTATCAACTACCAAATCATTATCAAATCAAAATAAAGTTTAACCATTACTTCTTTATGCCATTACTGGTGAGAGACTAGTAAACTCAAAGCACATGTATGTTAACCCATTGCCACCGGGGATGGCATGTACATACATGCCATGCCCACTGTGAGTCGACTTGTTTAATTGTTTTTACACATAGATGGCCACACTTGTACTAAGTCACCAATGAGCCAATTAAGAGTACTGCCTGTCTCGCCCGTTCACCCTTTTCAACGATTTACGAAAATATTTAACGTTATCCTCATTTGCTGTTAAAAATAACACCATTTATATTTATAGCACTAGTAAAAATACGTTTTTTCCCGCCAATTCAAGGAAAGGTGAAATCAGGACTAGCAGAGCCATCTATGTACAGAGATATTTCACAAAAATATAAAAAATGAGTACAGCATTTTCCCCATTTTTTATTCATTTTCCCCAGCGGCAATGGGTTAAAATCTAAAAAGATACCCAAGCTTCTACATCACATAAGAATGGGAGAGACATTGCATGCTGGAAAATCAAAATGAAAACAAAACAAAGAACTATGTATGATTTGATATTGAGAGTGAGGAGAGAAAGGAGAAAAAGAAGAGAGAGAAGAGGAAAAATGAAAAGAAAAAGAGAAGAGGGAAAAGAGGAAAGATGAAAGGAGAAAATGAAGAGGGAGAAGAGGAAAGGTGAAAAAAGGAGAAAAAGAAGAGAGAGAAGAGGAAGGATAAAAGAAGGAGAAAGAATTAAATACTGAGGAATGATCCAATAGATAAAGAAAGAATAAAAGAGAAAGAGACAAAGAAATATAGAATAAAAGAAAGAAAGAGAGGCAATTTGATATACAAAAAGACATATTACATATACAGACAGAAGAGAGGATTATAAAACAGAAAAATATGACAGAGCGAGAACATGGAATAGACAACAGTGATGAGTATGAAACCATGAAACAGAGAGACTGAACATGAAAGAGGTAAAGAAAGAAAAAGAAAAAGAAAAAAAAAGGAAGTGGCACAAGGCAAATAAACCAAGGTAAAACACTGGGGTAATGAGCAACTGTAGGAGGTTCTAGTTCAAGCCTTAACCAACTCACTCTACAAAATACATGCCATACCCACTGTTATTTTAGACTAAGTCACCAGGAAGTCACTTACTAGTACTACCTACCTCACCTGTTTAACCCTTTTTCTTCATTTTTGGGATAGTTCTTTTTTATGGTCTTATTAATGTTATTATTATTAGTATTTCAACAACATTAAATTAATCATAATGTCAATAATACTAATAATAAGTGTCAATATCAACTGCATTAGGAAGATAATAATATTCCTACAAATTCAAGGAACAGGAAATGAGGTATAGTCACTTGGGCCTATTACTTGACTCCTTGACTATGCACTCGTGGAGTCATCTATGTGCAATAAAAGTCATTAGAAAACTACAGTGGGCAGTACATAAATTTGGGTCAAATGATTAACATACACTCAAAGAATATACCAAATAACTAAGAAAATGTGAACTTGTAAACTCCTTACTATTTATGGATAAGGAAAAATGTAAAGTTGGATAGCAATACAAAATATTACTTCTTACAATAATGGCAAATTATGTTGAAAAGAACAAAGTTATAACAACATTGACACAGCACTAATATGAATATCAACATTAAACAAAAACAAAACAAGAAGACCATGATACCCAATTTACAGTTCTTTACCATTACCAACAATGATAACCATAAATATGTATAAAAAAATTTACATATATCTTCAACTTTCTCTGACACACTGTTTTATCAGCAAGAACAAGGGTATGTGAGCCCCTGACTAGATTTATATTACGTTAGCACTTTTGACTTACTAAACAGCATTAATAGGAATACGAGATTATTCTGAGGACTTCATAATCACCCTAACACCTTAACATGTACCAAATAATAGTTACAGATTATTTATGGTGTGGATGTCATGAGCTAGAAACCCATTCTCGCTTACAGTTCCTCCTTATCTTAAATGCACCTAGATGGAATTTTGTACATGAAAGTAAAAAGTATCTAGGAACATTATATATGAAAGCTTGTCATTTCAACTTGAATAGAAAGACTATATTATTTATACATGCACGGGGGAAGCCCTGTTTGGGTTTATATGTATTCATCTATTATAAAAGTCTTAATAACAATCAGCATATACGAAGCAGAAATGTAGACAGAAATAAAAGCAGACTGAAAAGTGAATACCAAACAGGTTTCCAAGAATACAACAAAATATTAACATAAATGTAAACATTATTCAAATGCAAAAAAAAAATAATGCAACACAAGCAAGAAATAGGTAAAGATAACACCATGCAACACATTCCTTCACAGGTATTAAAAGAAAGGTATTGGTTTTAATCAAAACAGCTTCGGTTTAACATATATATCATTTCCTAAGGATGAGTATTTGCTCTATGTTCAAAACAAGTTTAAATGCTGTAATAGGAAAGAAAAGTCACTGAACTGTTTGTAAAGCTTCTCCAAAACTCACATGCCTTAAAGTTAATAATACAATTCTTTCTTGAAAGAGGAAAACAAATTAGCTTCTCTCCTGCAAGTTCCAAGTAACTGTGACTTTACATAATCATAGTAAAGCATATTCATTGGTAACAAATTATTCAACTCTTAAGAAAAAATACTGTATAAAAATACATGAAATACACTTTCCGTGTTTTTATAAAAACAGGTACCTGGAAGCCTTAAATATATACTCTAGCATTCATTTTACCAATGAATATCTTTTTAAAAATTCAGATGAAATATGACTATTCCTCTTGGTAAGCTATTATGAAAATATTGGATATTCCAAAATACTGCTTTTAGGAAAACTGGTAACCCAACATTACAGATATCTATACCACTTGCCAAGGAATTATTTACTACTGATGACATATGGGAACATTTAGATGTTTATACTATTCATAATGGGATACTAGCCAGAAAGAAAGACTTCAAAGCACCCTCCTTGGCATACCTCAGTATGCTGGAGACCATGGTTTAACAGGAGATCCTTGACTGCAGGCTTGACCTTAGGCACCCCATTCTCACTGTGGATTCCTCTGCCAGTGATGATTCTGACTTTCTCATGCTGCCCCCAGTACTGACGAATAAAGGCCTCAGTGGTCTGTATGGCCTCTCTAACAGTCATGGTGTGTAGGTCTAATGTTAGAATACCATCTTCAAACCTAAGTACCTGTTGAAATGGTAAGTCACCATGTTTCAAGGGCAGGTAGCTCCCTTCTGAAGGT